CATCTTTTGACATATATTTACTTATAATATTCATTACATATATAGGATCCATCCTTGTGCCAATCATTGCATATATAAATATGCCAACTCTTGTCTTATATGGAACACTTAGGATTTAATCTTTAATTTCAAGAAATTCCTCATTTATAAGCTTCATCAGTATCAAATTAGATCATTAAATCATAAACATAGAAAATAATAATCAACAAGAATTCATTAAATTTTATACAAATATAAAAGGATTAATCTCAATTTTTATAAATTCTTTATTCATAAAAAATGTATCAATACATTGTTACCATGCCTTTAGTGAATGCTTAAGCTAATATAAAAAATACTTTAGCTTATTAATAAAGTGTTGATTTTATTTATCAATAAATTCTTAAGATTTATCCATATACATATTTTCTTTTTATTAAAAAAATATAAGAAGTCTCAATATATAAGATCAATAAGATTTCATACAAAGAAAAGTGTGAAGTAAGATGACTCTCATTTTTAACATCCATTACTTAAAGATGATAGTTATTGCTCATACTATCAATTTCTATCTTATAACTTTTATATCTATAAAAAGATATATTAAGTGTATATGTTGGCATCTTATTTATTACTAGGATTTATCTTATTATATATTTTATATTTATTAGATCTTGTAGCATCTCCCTTATGACAAGGATATACTATGGTATTTAATTTATATTCTTATCTTTCATTTAGATATTGCTTAATAGATTCTATATGCCTTTGGTCTTATTTTTTATTCCTTATCTTTTTATCTTATTCATAAGTAGATCTTTTTATACATATAAAAATAATCTTTTCACAATTAGTAACTTATTTAAAATAATATTTTATTTAATGAGATTTATTTAATTTAATGAGATTTATTTTATTTTTTCTTTGATTTGTTACTTTTAATATTTCCAACTCTCTATTCAAAAAAGCCATCTTTATATCTATTTGATACATCATTAAATCCATTGCTATTCTAGTTGCTATTGAAGAAACACAACTTTGATTTCTTAAATATATAGCATCAACAAGGTTGTATTTAAAAAGAATATGGAATAAGATGACTCTGACTTCCAACATCCATTACTTATAGCTAGTGGTTGTTGTCTTTATTGACAACTTCTAATTTATTATTTTTACGTCCAACTAAAAATATATCAAGTATATTTTTTGATATCTTTTCTATTACAAAGAAATGCCTTTAATACATCTTTTATGATCTTTTTATCCTAACATATTTAAGCATATCTTAGCATATCTTAGAATATCTTAAAAGATCTTTTATGATCCTTTGATTCCAAGACTCTTTGACCATTATCAACACATATAAAATAATATTATTTAAATTTACTTACTTACTTACTTACTTACTTATTTTAATACTCCTACTTTACTATTGATAAAAGACTTTTAATCTTAATGCCTTTGTCAACATGTAATGTCTATCTTTTATTCATGCATTTGTCAATAAATTAGTAAGCATATTTTTTGTTATATAATACTTCATATCAATTACTATCATTTCAATCTTTCTTTTTATAAAGTAATGTTGAATGTCAGTATGCTTGGTCCTTAAATGATGTCTTGATTTATTGCAAAAGACATCTTTGATTGTTACACTTCATTGGAATTATTTCAAATTGCATTAGTTCAATATCTTTCAAAACTCATTCTTGCCATATGGCTTTCATACTATCATGGCTTGTTGCCATGTATTCTTTCTTCATTGTGGATCTTGCAATTATTGGTTAACTCTTATAATACTACAAAATAACTCTTGCAATTCTAAAAACTAATCATTCAAAGTAATATTATCACCTCCAAGGTATAATTTGAGGTATGAAGTACCTTTTAAATACCTCATGATTCTTTTAATGATTGTCCAATGCATTGATCTAGCCTTTAATATGTATTGACTTATAAAACTCATTGTATGTACAAATCCACCCTTGTTCCAACTATTATGTACATAAGTGAGCTTATTGTTGCATTATATAGAACATCTTATATTTAACCTTCAATTTCAATAAATCCCTCATTTGTGAGCTTTATTAACTTCAAATTGGTGTCCAAAGGTGTATCTATAGGCTTACATTCCTCTATATTGAATCATTTCAATACTTCTTCAATGTACTTGCTTTGGCTCATTGTAATGGTCTTCTTAGCACAATTTCTTACAAATTCTACTTTTAAATAATAGTAAAGCTCTTTCAAATCACTCATCTCATACTCTTTTTCTAACTTTGCCTTCAAGAAATCTATCATTTTTAATATATTTGTTAAGATGATCAAATCATCAATACAGAAGATGAAAATCAATACAAACTCATTTGATTGCATCACATACATAGAATAATCAGCTTTATTTCTTTCAAATTCTTTATTGATTAAAAATGTGTCAATACATTGTTATCATACTCTTGGTGATTGATTAAGCCTATATAAAGATTTCTTTAATTTACTAATAAGATATTGTTTGCCTTCTTTAATAAATCATTGAGGTCGAACTTTGTAGATGTCATATTTAAATTTTCATTCAAAAAAGCCGTTTTCACATCTATTTGATGTATTTCTAAGTCTATTGTTGCTTCAATTGCTACAATGATTCTAATAGTAGTGAATTTGGCAATGGAAGCAAATGTCTCATTGAAATTAATACCAACAACTTATGAGTAGCTTTTTGCTACCAATCTAGCTTTATATCTCATAACATTATCTATTGCATTTCTTTTGGTTCTAAATACCCACTTACAACTAGTTTAAGATTGATTTGATAGAAATCAAATCAAATTTCATGTACTATTGTTCATGAATGATTTGTGTTCTTCTTCTATGGTCTTTTTTCTCTTTCTACCATCTATGGACTTTATTACATCATACAATTTTAAAGTACTTTCTTTGAAGTCTTTCTTATTATAATGAATAGATCTTATGGATATTATTGATGTTATTGTTTGATTTTCCTAATTCTACTTTTTTGCATCTAATTATTGATGTATTATTGCTCTTACTTATTATTAAATGCATATATAGGCTTAGAATTTTATTTTCACTTAAAAATGATATTATAGAATACTAGTATTTTGTTTCTTTATTGAGTTATATTATTAGTATACTAACATTGTGCTTTTATGTGGTAAAGCTCTTAAAAGACCTCTTATAGTAAGTAGAGGTGGTTTGTAAAATTAGAGATGATTGAAAAGTGGCAAAGCTTACAAAAGAGGTTTATATTATAGTTTAAAATTGTAAGAAGTGTCATAAGTGAAGTGAGAGTGATTTAAGAGTGAAATCACTAATTTACTCATAAAGAAGGTATTATGGATTTCTAAAAGGAGAACACCTTCTTCTTCATTTTGAGAGGTCTATGACTTCTTTTTTTGATTTTGTTTTATACATTTTTTCATTAGATATGCCTTAAGATAAAGATGAAGGCTTGAGAATGATTGAAAAGTTTAGAGATAATAACTTCTAATATTGGAAGAAAAAAATGGAACTTTTGTTGGATTCATTGGACTATTGCAACATTATAGATAAAAGTGAAGAGCTTCCAAGCAACAATGCTTATGTGAAAAATAAGCAATAGTACAAATCTTGTGAAAGGATGGCTTTTGAGTTGATTGTAATCAATCTTCATGATGCTAATTTTTCACATATTATTGCAAGCAATGAATCAATAAAAGCATTAAATATTCTTTAGAATATCTATGAAAGTAGGAACCTTATCAACATATTTTTTATATGTATTTCTTTAAGATTAATTTATGATTTCTTTATGTTTCTTTTATAGTTTCTTTAAGACTTCTTTTGGATTTGATTAAATCTTGATTAACATTATTAAGGTTTAATAGGAGTTTATTTATGATTCTATTAGATTTATTAAGACCTTGTTGTTGCAATAACTTTTTTTACCTTCTACAATTAGGTGCTTGGTGTATTTTCAAGCAAGACTTTATATAATTCAACAATGTCTTGAAATTGTGTTGAAATTGTACCTACTATCATTCTTTTAAGAATATGAGGAGTTGTAGGAAAGCTTTTAAAGATTGGAAAGTGGGGTAGAAAGCTAATTTAAAAGGCTATGTTTGTAAGTGAAAGAATTTCATCAAGGGTTTGGTTTGAGCCATATCTTGGCATTTTGAAGAATTTTTGGCCCAATTTTTTTAAAAGTGTAAAATATGTTGTTAAGAGGCTATGTAATAAAATGTTGTGCCATTTGAATGTTGAATTTTTGAGATATGAGGAATTAGTACAAGGATATCAATAAATTGGTGTTAAAAGCATTTGCTAGGATTTGAACAATATTTAAAGATCAATAACAATTATATAGTTGAAAATTATATGAGTAGTTTTGAAAAATATGAGTGTACTTCTTAAGTCTATTTGGATAGTTAGATTGAAAGATATATAGGGTGTTAAAATTCAAAAAACATACCTTCAATATAAAATAAGGTTTCAGAAAATTCAGCCATATATTTTTGGGTGATTTAGTGCAATTAGAATTATATATTTGATGAAATTGTCAACGAGCCATTACTCCTCCACCGTTTGTTCCGATTGAAGATAGCTTGGATTATTATGAAGTTGCTGAGGTTCTAACTCCAAGGGGGAATAGGGATGGTCGTTGTGATTTGGAGTTAGGGTTCGGTTCGTCACGTTTACATCAGGTGGACGTAAAATACTGGACATCGATGCAGGTGTAAAATCTGGACGTTGATATGGATACTGCCATCGATGCCGGTGCAAAGTCACTTGAAGCTGGTCCGATACGGTGATGAACAGTCGTGTTCTGAGAGTAGCTAGGAGGGATTATTCCGGGAATTTTGGGGGTCGTATTTCTCGGATCGAGCTCTGATCGTTGGTTGCCTATTGAATTGGGTCGTGGAGGAGAATGGGCGACGCTAGTGGAAATTTGGGAGAGCAGAAGTACAAGAGCAGATACTGAAGTGGAAGAGCATCTTTCTATCTTCTCTTCCAATCTATTGATCTGCTCTTCCAATACTATCAGATCAATAGATTGGAAGAGCAGATCGAAAAATGCTCTCACCTTAAGGAGAGACAGCGACTCCAGGACGACAAGACGCGACTCTGGAACAAGGAAGCGCTACTCCGGGGCAAAGAAGCGCTACTCCGGGAGCAACTCCTGCAAAGATGAGGGCACTCCTATCACTCGTCATTGACGGCCATCTCCTAATCTTTGTCTTTTAATGTTCTCGGGGACTGCTGGATTCATGGTTAAGGAATTAGGGTTGGCATAGGATTGCATACTTTACTTCATGGACCTCTATTGTTCCGTAGCCGGTTCTCTGTTGCCGAACTAGGTGGTCTGGGTTATGTGTATTCTTTGTTGTGGATAGGATAGAGGCGATCCGTCTCTAGGGAAGGATCCTTTGGGTTTGGTGTTGTGTGTGAAGGTGCGTGTATGAGCTAACAATGGAAAAAATAGTATATAATGTGTTACGAAAGGTTGCTGTTTTGCCAGTGTACCAAATTTATGCTTCCTTGACTACCACAATAGCAACCATTACAAGTATTGTATTTCCTCGTATTTCCTCGGATTTTCATTTAATTCACAGGATTGCATGTGCAGATAGTGCACAGAGTATGATTGGCTACGTCAGGACTTGCCGTTGTGGGACTCAGGGTCTTGTTCCAAGACACCAAACACCACGTAAAAGGAGCGTAGATACACGCCTGTTAAAGTGGAGTATTGGGACGTGGAGAAAGACATTGAAGGCTATCTTAACAAGGCAGATAATTTGAAGCGTAGATTTCAGAAAGTGGAATCTCTTACAGCCACCACAGTATGGCAGAATTTGGCAGACATCGCCGGTTCTGTCGTGGCCAGCACGTGCGATTTTGTGAGTAAGAAGCAATCAGGTTCATCGATAATGTACGGACAGGAAATCAGACTTGAAGTGCCACCAAATCTCCTAGCAGAGGAGAGAAAATCAAAGAATTCAGACCAGTCAAGGTCTGTGGACAAAGACGTTCGAAAGACGTTCTATTATGCCAAACCTCTTCGTGTGGATATCTTAGTGAAATCTAACGACAAGAATGGAGGTCTCGGATGCCCCTTGCTTATTCATAAACTTTGGGCAAGATGCTCCTGCCAGACAGGTTCAATATGGCCTGACGTAATTAGATTTTTGTTAATTCTCGTCTTCACGATTTTTCAACAATGTTCAGTTGTCATGCCTGCTGATATGGGAGGCTGCATTGCTTCAGGGATTGACCCCAATTGCTGGTGCAATGTTGGCATCACGAAAGGACAAGCTAGGAGCCTCCTGAATTGCATTCTTCAGGGATATGATTACTTGGTTTTGTAAGCTGTTTTACTACCCTAAACCCTTGACTACCTTGGGATTTTTTCGGTGGGGCAAGATCAGCTTCGAGCTCAGCGTTGCAAGATCTGCCACTGCCTTTGCCATAGTATTCTAGTGAAAGGGTAGGCCTTTTTAACAAATCTTCGATTTGCCTGAGCATCTTTTTGTTGTTTGTACCGTATCTTAATCTTCACGTATCTGAAGGTGTATGTTTAGGGATCAAAAGCCACCCTATCCCCCCCCCCCCCTGGGCAACCGGTGGATTTTCTGATTTCTAGTATTGAAGTTGTGAGGACTTCTTGCAAGATACCAAGAAAGCAGATATTCCTGAGGTTCTGAAGAGGCCTAAGTGCTCAGTAATTTCAAAACTTGGTGCTCGCAATGATGTGTCTTATGTTGGTCTGATCTTCAGATAAGAAGCTGATGAATACAGTGTGAAGTGGCCCTTATTCTACATTTTTTCCTGTTGAGTTGCAGGGCTAAGGTTAGATATGGTGTGCTCACGGATATCCAAAACTGGTATCTCTTCAAAAGAGATCATTCCGACTACCTTTACATCTCAGTGGGTTTTAAGTGGAAGAACCGGCAACCGCATTTGCCTGCTGCAATCGCTTATTTGATCAGTACTTCTGTCAACGCCAGTGGTGAGTTTGATGTTCCACCCGAGGAGGGTGAGCGTCCCTGGAGTTGGGACGTTACCCCTTATACCAGTCCCAGTGGTGGGTCTAAAGATGATGATGATGATAAGGATACACCCTACGAACCAAGTGAGAACGAAATGGGTGATTGCAAAAGGTTTGCCCCGAGGTAACCTGTCTAGCCAGCTACCCAAGCATTGGCGTGTTTTCTGGATGTGTAGAAAAGAGCAAATGGTGGAATGATGGCAAGTGTATGTACAGGACTCAAGAGGCAAACTCAAATAGCAGACAGAAGCAACTGCAGGAGATTCTTGCATCGGACCTGCATTTAGACGACCGTCCCATTTCTAGTGAGGGATGGAGTGGATGCGTGGTTGGTGGTCGTTTGAATGATTCCTTGTTGCAGTGAAGCTTGCTCTCCGCAAGTCGAAACGTGAGGTGGTGAGTTGGAGTTGTGTCAAGTGGAAATGTTGCATTCGCATCTAAAAGTTGACTATTACTTGATCTAATCCGGGGCCGAGCTGGAGTGGTCCTGTTAGCGATAGCTTCCGTAGCAGGCAGTCTTTGTTAGATGCAACGAGGAGCATGTTTATGTTTGTGTTGAAGTGCATGTGCAATTTGCGACACCTTACTTCTTTGTGATCTTGTTCTGTACATACCAACTTCTGGCCGTGCTTGTGCAGGCTCTCCTGAACGACGTGGGCGCCTATCTAAAGCTACAGGAGCATTGGGGGGTTTTCGTGCCCCCATTAGTAGGATACAGAACCACAGCCAATGGCAAGATTGTGCATGTAGCAACAGAGTTGATCGATGACAGTCAACTCGGTCCTGGTAAGTAACCTTTTGAATTAGCAAATGCGGAGTGTGGTTGTCTCCCTCTTCTGGTCGCGAAGGCTGCTTGCAACTTAATCTTGGTGCTTCTACAGCGTGATAATCGAAGGAACTGTATCTCCGGCACTTACGATCAATAAGTAGAGTAGGCATTTATTTGCTTCTAATGATTGGATTTTGGTTCTTAGGGACAGTGACGAGGGAGGTGGCTGCTGCGGCACTTCAAGCGCTTGGCGCTGTGCATGCGTGCGGGCTGCTTCATGGGGATGTCGAGGCACGGAATATTATGGTCGTGCGGGGTACAGAACCATCTGTCCGCCTTGTGGATTTTGGCTTTGCTTGGTGCAGCAACAATAGGAAGTGGCAGAAGGCAGAGGTCATGAAGTTGGAGCGCCTCTTGGAAGAGATGATGGGAGTGGGGTGGGAAAAGAGTCAGATATTGTAATATATCCTCATAAGCAGCTTTGTTTAGTATAGTGTAATTTGCTATCCAAGCAACTCCGATGATGAAGGGCAACAGTGATTTGGAAGACTCACCGTTGACTGCTTGTCAGAATGCCAATCCATTTATTTGCTGAGGGCAAATGGTGTTGTGTTTACCAAGACCACCTTTTATGAAACAGATTGTGATGGACCGAATGAGAGGAGTATCTGAATATAGATTTTTACCCAAGATGAAGGAGAATCTATTAATCTAGGGAGTTGTACACTGGGTTTTAATTTTGTAGGAGATTTTGAGGCTTAATCAGGATGAACGTGAATAGGATCAAATTAGCGCATATTCACGTTCATCACGTTCATGCCATTATGTGCTGTTTTGATCCTGAACTTTCTAAGATTTGCTCACCTCTTTGATCCTTGTTTATGTTAGATCTCTTCTTTTTGGAGGCTGGTTTTTTGATAGAGTTGCAATCATCTGCAAAATATTTCTTGGCAAGTTTTTTCCTTATAATCTCATGATGGAAATAATTATTTTGTTTAAAGATATAAGGGTTGTGAATTTGTATTATTAGTACTTTTAAAAACAGTATTGTGGCATTTCTTGGTTTGTATTGTCTTAGTTTCTCTTATCTCTATTGAAGCCATAAGATAGGATAAGCAAGATGTTTTGATGTTGGCCATAAGATAGGATAAACAAGATGTCCTGATGTTGGCCATAGGTTAGGATAAACAAGATGTTTTGATGCTAGTTATAAGATAGGATAAACAAGATGTCATGATGTTAGCATTTTAATTTGAGTATGGCTGTCATGTTGGTTAAGCAATTTTATTCTATTTCAAGTTCTAAAGTTTGTTCACTTTGCATGCACATCTTAAGACATCAAAAACTTTACTTGTGTGCTTTAATATTGAAATCTGCTTTGGACTTGCCTACCATGAATTTTTCAATAGAGGCCCTTCAAGACTTCTTAAATACTTCCTAAAAATCTTTAGATATTAATTTCAAAGTCTTGTTTTATCCAAAATTGCATCCTGCTAGAAAGTCATGATGTGCTTGAAGAATACATAAGTATACTTTTCTTTCGGGAACATATGAGCACCATTCAAAATAAAATAATGTTTTTGAACTTGAACTTGGAAGTATTACAAGACTTAAAAGAAGTATTCTTAACATCATGAACAAGAGGATCAGAGGACATACTTGATTGAATTTGCTTAAGAAAAGTTGAATCAACAATCAATGTTGATTTCATTGCTTAAAGATGAAATTGATCTAGCTTCAATAAAAATTATCCTTTGTTGATCAAAAGTTGCATCTTTTTCTTTTGATATAAAATAAGAACATCTAGAAAGGGCATCAAACAAATCTTATTGTTTTCTTGGCTAATAAGCGATATTGAACTCAAATCTTGACAAAGACATGGTCTAATAAGCTTAGCAATGATTCAAAACACATGTTAATATAACATATTTAAGGCTCTTGTAATCCGTACATATGATGATTGGATTAGAAGTGCCTTCTAAATATTGATGCCATTCTTAAAAAGAATCCATAATTGCAAGAAGTTCTTTGTTGTAGATTTCATAATTAATCTTAGATATTGAGAATTTCTTGAAATGAAAAGCTACTGGGTAGAGCTTGTCATCTTTTCCTATTTGTGACAAAACAACACATATAGCAAAATTTGATGCATTTATTTCCATAAAAAATGCCTTCAAAAAGCCGACACAATATAAGATTGGTGCAGAAATAAATGTCAACTTCAAGGCTTTAAAAGATGCTTCGCCTTCTTTGCTCCAATCAAGTTTGACTTTACATGTAAGATTTGTAAGAAGAGCTACAATTTGAGATAAATTCTTGATGAAGATCTGATAGTAATTGACAAAGCCCAAAAAGTATTGCATATCTCTTATTATTTTTAGAATCTTCTAATCTATAATAGTTTGAACCTTCTTTGGATCCATCATAAGTCCTTTGTTGGAAATGATATATCATAAGAAGTCAACTTAAATAATATGGAATACATGCTTTTCCAACTTAGCATATAATTCCACATCTCTAAGTTTTTATAACACATGATGAATATAAACTTCATGCTCTTTTGTGTTTTTAGAATATATTATAATGTCATCTAAGTAACAAACAATAAAATCATCTAAAAACTCACAAAAAATATCATTCATAAGATATTGAAATCAGTTGATGCATTTGTAAGTCCAAAAGGCATGACATTATATTGAAAGTGTCCATACCTTGTTCAAAATACAGTCTTCTATTCATCTCTTTCTTTAATGCGGACCAAGTAGAATACTCCTTGTAGATCTATTTTTGTATAGATCTTAGCTTGATTTAGTTGATCAAAAAATTCAGATATCAAAGATAAAGGATACCTATTTTTGATGATAATCTTATTGAGTCATCAATAATATATGCATATTTGTAGTTATCTATCTTTTTTCTTCACAAATAAGATAGGAGCTTTGGCAAGAGATTTCGAATGGCATGTGAAATTCTTGGCCAAGTTCTCATCAATGTACTTCTTAAGTTCAGACAACTCATTTTGTGATAAACTATAGATTGGACCAAATAGTAGCTAACTTCCTTCTTTAAGGTCAATTGATTAATCATATAGACGATGTTTTAGAAGAATATCTACATTCTTCTTCTAAAAAATAACTTGAAAATCTTGATATTAACTTGGGATGCCACTTGAAGTCTTTTTATCATTAAAAATATATGTGGCATAAATAACAAAAGATGATCCTTCTTTTGTAGCATGTAAGAAAGCTTTTGGGCCTACAAGTATGGATTTGGCTATACTAGACTCATGGCTTTCTATAAAATTCTTAATAATACTTTTAGAAAAGTTAAGTTTATAAGAAATCTAATCTATGAAAAGATTATACCTTTTTAGTCATGATAAACCTAAAATAATCAAATTAGAGGGAGATCTAAATATATTAAAAATTACACAATTATTACAATCATTTATTATTACATCTATAGGAAGTGTTTCATAATTAATATCTCCAAAAGATAACAGATGGTCATCTATGACCTCTACATGTATGGATTTAGTTTTTTATACTAAAGATATTCTATTGCTTTTAAAAATTCTTCATCTAAAAAAATAACCTGAGGTTCTTGAATCTATTAAGGTACAAGCTTTTTGATTATTAGGTCTTTAATGTATATTTATTATAAAATAACAAGAGGATTTTTAGGAGAAGATAGGACCTTCATTTGTATAAGATTTCAACCGCAGGGTCCTTCTTGTAGCTAGACAAATTTGTTTTTTGACATTTTCTCATCTTTGACAGTTGTACTCCTCATTTTGTAGTTGCATCGTTTCTTTAGACAATGTTGAGCAATGTGCTTAGCTTCTCTAGAATATAAAAATAATTCTTTTTAATGATGATAAGTCTTTTTTTTATTCAGTAAGAGGTTTAAAATGTACCGCATCAATTTGCATGTCTTCTATTTCCAAATATTTAGATTGAGAGGTAGTTGGTATTGTTATTGAATTGTAATAATGTGGAGGATTTCTTGCATGATTTTCCACCAAAAAAGCCTCCAGATTATCTAATATTGGATCTCATTGTTCAAAAAAAGATGAAAACCATGATAATACCAAATTTGAAAGAAGTGTATCAATGAATCTAATTTGTGATCTCAGCATTGGATAGCTTTGAGGTTGAAGTTCAATTTCAAGTTTTACTTGATTGATAAATCCTCAAAACTTAGATCTAGTGCCATCAAACTTCTTGGATAAGATAATTTTAGATTCTCTAACATTGGAAGGATGTTCTACTATAAGAGAAGGAATGTGATTTGGTGAAGATGTTGAAGTGGCTTCAATCATATGTATATCTTCACTTCCTGCCATTTTTGTTGCTTCTAGTCACAATAAAGTAAGTTGATGCATTGCAAGCATCAACTCCCTCAATTGCTTTTGCATTTGTGCTATTGTACTGTTCATTTTAAGAAGCTTTGTTGTGATAACACCTAAAAAAAAATGTCTAATATTGCTCAAGACAAATAGAAGAGAAGACTTGAGAATAAAGAGAATACTAAGAATAATATTAATTTAAAAGAGGGTAATTTTTAACTTCTAATATACTTATGTCTTATTAAGAAAAAGAAATAATCCACTCTTAATCAAGACAAGATAAAGCTCTAATATTGTAAGTGCACTCTTGTTAATCTATCAAGAATTGTCATAGACATACAACTGAAGAAGAGTCAAAAAGATTCTAGGAGGTTCTAGAAGAATCTAAGAAGGTTCTTGTAGATCCTAAAAGGTTCCAAAAGGTTCCAATAAGCTCTAAGAAGATTCCAAAAGATTCCAATAGATTCTAAGAAAGTTCTAGAAGATCATAGGAGATCTTAGAAGGTTCTAGGAGGCTTTAGATGATTTAAGAAGTTGCCAAAGAAAGATCTTAGGCTTGCTTTGTTCCCAAGACTCACAAAATTTTTTTAAGTAGCTTTCTAGGACCTAATATATATAGGAGTCAAGGTTGAGGGGATCCTCAGTCTTGACAACTCACTTCTTGTGGTCTAATCAGGACCTTCTTGCCTTCTATCTAGTCATTGTTCTAATGTCGAGCTAACTCCATTTCTTGGTCTTGAATCCTTGTCTTGTATATGGTCCCTAACAAGAATATGAATTGAAAGAAGATGCTTAAGCTTATGAAATCTGTGTCAAAAGAAAAGTGACAAAATATAAATAAAAAATTATGTATATTAAAAAGAAACTAGAATGGCTTTTGCCAAAAGACAAAGAAATTAGAGACTCTTGAATCTAGACTAGAAGTAAGAAAAGAGTTGACAAGAGTAAAGAAGGCTTCACTCTTGTCTCTATATATATTATCTACCTAGGATCTATGTGGCAACGTTCTAAAAGACCTCTAAAAATGTATTGACTTTGTATAACATGTATCTTGACTTATAAGGCAAGCTTTTTATATGGAAACTACATAATTAGCTTGTTTTGCAAGCTACCAACATATGTGGTATGTGGTTAGCTTGTTGATCAAGTTTCTAATGTACCAATCAACTGCAAATATATGTAAAGTCAAAGCAAAGTCTAAGAAAGCTTCTAAGAAGTTTTTTTAGAAGGATTTATGAAATTAATCTATCTTTACATACTTCTACTTATTCATATTATTTAGGTAATAATTATAATAGATATATATTTGTGATATGTGTTTAGATTCTCTACAATGTAAGTAGAATTATTTTTGACTATATTGAATCTTTTCTTATTTAATAAGACATTTGAAATATACCACATTAATTTATATGTCTTTTACTTTTAATTTTTTTATTTGATATTGTAATATATAGAAAAATTGGTTAATAAATGTAATATGATTCTAATTCATATCAATTATAAGTTTTCAAAATTATAAAGCATATAATCTTATTG